GCTCACAGCAACCTCAAACTCCTGGGCTCGAGTGATCCTTCTGCCTCAGCCTCCCGGGTAGCTGGGACTACAGGCATGCACCACCATGCCCGGCTAATTTTTTTATATATATATCAGTTGGCCAATTAATTTCTTTCTATTTATAGTAGAGACGGGGTCTCGCTCTTGCTCAGGCTGGTTTTGAACTCCTGACCTTGAGCAATCCGCCCGCCTCGGCCTCCCAAGAGCTAGGATTACAGGCGTGAGCCACAGCGCCCGGCCCACTGGAGGGTTATTAATTGGCCTAATTTCAATACTGTTGAGTCTCAGGAGATAGGTAAGCCTGAGTAGTGGAAAAGAGATGGGGGAACAGCTGGTCAGTGGAGCAGTCAGCACACATACAACATTTATCAATTAAATTTGCTGTCTTATGAGTATGGTTTGTGGAGCCCTAAAATAATTACAATAGTAACATCAAAGATAACTGATGATGGATCACCATACCAAATATACTAATGAAAAGTTTGAACTATTGCAAGAATTACCAAAATGTGACATGGAGACATGAAGTGAGCACATGCTATTGGAAAAATGGTGTCAACAGACATGCTCAACACAGGGTTGTCACAAGCCTTCAATTTGTCACAAGTCTTCACATAATATCTGCTAGGTACAATAAAGCAAAGTGCAATAAAATGAGGGATGCCTGTATTTTGCCCAGGGTCTGGTATAATAGTCTCAATAAATGAACTCAAAGTCTAGTCTAGCTCTGGGCTCCTCTTCTTCAAGGCATCCTTTAGGTAAAGTAACACATTGAAACTTCACAACAACTTTATTAATGATTTTTAAAAAACAATTTATATATATATAAATACATATTAACATTTTGCAAAATAAATTTAATATGATTTGAAACTATTACCTTGTTTTCTCAAAGTGGTCTACTAACTATAAGTTTCCTTCAAGTTTTAAGAAAATGGGCCCAAAATGCCTGCTTTCAAAGACTGAGAGGCTTAAATGAGATTGCAAATGTAATACTTGAGGGAGAGCAGTGCTGGCATAAATAAGACATCGACAAATGCTAACGGCATATAGAAGAACAGACCAAGATTTCTCCTTTTAGGCAGGACAATCCAGGCAGATTCCCTAAAGGTACTTCTGGGAGATTCTGGGAGAGTTGGGCCATATCTTTAACACAGTGAAAAGGTACAAAGCTTAGCATCTAGTTAAGATATAAGAGCCTATGCATAGATAATAAGAAAAGAATGACCTTCTTAGCTTTAGTAAACCATGGATATTAGGTTTGCTGATCTAGTTTTGTGGGCATATCCTTTTTCAAAGGAAAGACAAAAGTATCATAAGTAAACTCTGCTTCCATAGATGTTCTAAAGGCCAAAAAACTGATGATTGCAAAATCAATCCAAAAGCCAGGTCGACCTACCATCTTTCAGATTAATTCCATTTCCTATTAGTATTTTAAATGGACTCTATACCAATTTAGGTGGGTAAGTTTCTTGTAAATTGTTACATTTTTCCACTTCTAAGGTGCTCTCAAGATGTATATAATCTTCTAATTATGTTAGCAAGAATGGGCTTGCTAACAACTCTGGACTTGAGTCTCTATGTTTATAATTCATGGGAAAAGTCACAACAGCATTAATTACATTTTAAAAATAAATGTTAGCCAATGCATTTAGGTACCAAGGTCCTTACCTCACCTCAGTTTTATAATCCTTTTCTTTCTCATCAAAAACAAAAACACATGCATTTACACTGTATCAACATATTTTAATAAACCTGGATTCTTTTGGTGGTAAAGTACTCTTCTAATGAATTGTGGCACTAAACAGCAACTTCAATAGCAACATGGGCAGGTCTTGTGGAATCTGCCTACCTGATTTGAAATGCAAGCTCTATTGCTTTCTAGCTGTGTGGCCTTGGGCAACTTACCTCTCTGAATCTTTCCCATTTGTAAAATGGATATAATAGTTAAAAGAAAGTGGGAAAGGTCTTGAAGATCATCTAGGACAAATTTCATTATTTAATAGGCTGGGGTATGGAGGGACAAGAATGGAAGTGATTTGTCCAAAGTCGTACTCCTAACTGGGAGCCATCAACATTAGAATCTGGACTTTTCAGCTGGGTGCGGTGGCTCACGCCTGTAATCCTAGCTCTCTGGGAGGCCAAGGCAGGCGGATCGTTTGAATCCAGGAGTTCGAAACCAACCTGAGCAAGAGCGAGACCCCGTCTCTACTATAAATAGAAAGAAATTAATTGGCCAACTAATATATATAGAAAAAATTAGCTGGGCATGGTGGCGCATGCCTGTAGTCCCAGCTACTTGGGAGGCTGAGGCAGCAGGATTGCTTGAGCCCAGGAGTTTGAGGTTGCTGTGAGCTAGGCTGACGCCACGGTACTCACTATAGCCTGGGCAACAAAGTGAGACTCTGTCTCAAAAAAAAAAAAAAAAAAAAAAAAAGAATCTGGACTTTTCCATTTCTTTTACAGAACTTAAAATGTTTTCTGATGATCAGTTCTGAATTTATCTTTTTTCCACCTTCACGCTGGTGATTTATCATTACTATGCTAATCAGATTTGCTTACATATACCCGTTATATAATCTAAAACAAGTGTGCATACTTTATATATATAAAACTGGCCCCTTAAAATGCTTTGGGATGATTACTACTGGATTGATTTTACTATACTACAAAAATGGAAGTTTTTTAAGGGCTGTGCCTTATTCCTATTTGTATTTACTGAAGCCAAGTACCACGTGCTTAGCAGGCATTCACATGATTCTTCATTTCAAATACACAGTGGTGGGGAAAGGGTTAAAACAAAAACAAACCAAAAAAGCAAGCCTCCTGATTACCACTACTAGGTTAACCATGGATATTAAGAAGCTGAGAAACTCAGAAGGTAGATTATCAGTCATCTAGATACTCCCACTTCAATTAGACCTAAATATCCTTAATGGAATCAAGTAAGTTATATATTTAAATCCAGAGACTTTAAGTATATTTACAGTGAAGTACAATAAAAAAGAGGAACCAAAAAGCAGCTGTAGTGTTCCCTGTCATATGTTCTACTTCCTTAGAGAAAACAAAAGAAGGAATAGCTAAATCAGAGAATATTGGTGAAACTTTCCATATTCTCAATCTTAAATTTGATTCTGTTTTCCTGGCTATTTTTAAAAACAAAAATAAATTATAACTTTCTCTGCTGAGTCTTTTATCATCAAATTAGTTGTGGTGTATGTCTAGGAGCACAGTCACATGCCTACAATTAAAGTGTCTCAGATCCTTGATAAGCCTGCTCAGGAAAGAAGAATTGGTGAGCTACCAAGAAATTATCTTGGGCCAGGAAATGTGGAAAAGAGCACATGACTGTCATTACCTAACCAGTAATTTTCAGTGAGCTGGGACTGCTTGTTGCATGTAAGTTGAGAATTTAACATTCCTTTACAGACTTCCCTTAAATACTTTCACATAGTTAGGAATATGAATTTAAAGTATACCTTGGAAATTTTATACAGTGGCCGAATACACAGATATACGCATAACAGGTTTGTAGGAAGAATCATTAATTCAGAAGGCTGACTACAGAGTCAACAGCAGCAGGGAGGCTGGAAGGTGTGGAGATGTTAATGAATGTTTTGGGTGGAATAGGGGGGGAAAAGGAACCAAAACACAGCTTAATTCTAAAATAACTGAGTAATGAAAGAATTCAAAGTGGAATTAAATGAATGTGGGCCATCCAACGTAGGGATAGGGGTGGAACTATCTGGTGAGAGTGAAAAGTTAACAACAGGTAATACAGAGAGCTAGGAAGTGTAAGTCAAAAGATCCTATTTAAGAACAAAAGAAAGCCAGTGTCACTTTATGGTCATTCACGTATTGACCTCTCCAAAAGATCTGGAGGCAACTTGAGGGCAGAGTATGGGAACTTAATCATCTTTGCAACCTCTTAGCATTTAGCAGAATGAGGGGCACATGTTAGTGTCTTTGTCATTTTTCAGTACATTCTTCAGCATGCACAAAATTTGTTAAGTAGACGTTCAAAGAAAGGCTCTGCAAGAATTAGCTTGGCAGCTCACAAATTTGGAGGGAGTCAAGCTGTCCACTGACACACAAAAAATGGAAAAGGCTAAACTGATTACTGAAAGAGACAAAACCCCGCATCTCTCTGAAGAATTCTATCCCAAGCTGATATATGTAATGTTTGAAGGCAAGGGATACTAACCAAAGTCTCTCACATTGGTTTTAAGCTTTAGAGTTTACGAAGTGCAATTTCGCAGCTATTATTCATTCAACATGCACTTCGTGAACACTATATGCCAGGTACTGTGCTGAATGCTAGACAGAGATGAACAACATAAGCAATCTCTGTCCTGTCAGGGCTCATAATCTAGTAGGTTCAGTATGCAAGAAGAGAGGAAAACATGTCTAGCTGTGGGAATAAGGAACATAAAGCAATTTATTCTGCCTGGGACTGTGGAAGAATTTAAAGCACTAAAAAGGTGACATCAAGAAACTCAGCACAGTTGCGTGCCCTGTCCAGATTCTGAGAAGTGTACAGCACCGGAATGTGGCAAGGGTCAGGACCCGGAAGTTGAGACGAGGCCTGAAAGAGATCAACTCCCTCCAACAATTCGATCTCTGGCTCACGCTTCTCAGTCACTCACCCGCCGCTGGGCGAGAGAAAGTCAGTGTCGTCCTCGTCCCCAGCACCGAACATTGCGTTGGCTTTCACCGGAATGCAGGGAGAAAGCTGAATGTTTCCAGGGTCCCAGGGCCCCGGGGCCTGTCACCGCTGACGTCGTAAAATGCTGCGACAGCGTGCTGCTTGCCGGCAGGGCGAACTCTCGTACGGTTCCTCTGCCGAAAGCAGTCTAGACTCAGGAGAAGGTGGGGCAAAGGCAAATAAGAGGTTCGCGCGGGCACGCGCGCCGCGTTACGTCAGGCCTCTCCAGCCCTCAGAGGGGGCGGGGCTCCAAAGTCCTGCGCGGGAATTGGTCAGAGAGGCAGTGGGCGGGGAAGGGGCGGGAACCCTCAGCCTCGGTGGCGGTCGTGGACACGTCGAGCCGGGCAGAAGCGGAGGGGGCTTCTGAGGAGTCGTGAAAGGGTGAGGTTAAGATTCTGTGAGGGAGGCACCAGTGGCTGGATTCGACCTGGGAAGGTAAGTCCTCCCCTGTCCCCTCTCGCAACCCTGTCATAGGCACCGTCCTTTCCCTCCAAGACAAGGACCCTCCTCGCCGTTCTTCTCAGCTCAGCGTAAGGTGAAGGAGCCCGGGACTGGAGGATTGGAGGAGACCTGAGCTTCGGCCTGGCCCCTGGAGTGACCTTGGGGCCGGGTGCTCGGTGCCTCAGTTTCCCTGTCTGGGCAACGAGACATTTGTGATCCTACGTGCCGGCGGGTCCAGAAGCTTTTAGACCTCAGAGGTCGTCCAGTTCCATCCCGATCTCCTCGTAATCTTAGAATTTACAGCTAGGGAAACGAAGGAACTAAGCACTTGGGTGACTAGTCCGAGGTCACACAGAGTAAAGGGCACACCGAAACTGGACTTCTGGTCCTTTGATTCAGGTCTTAGCTGATGGGTGAACAAGAACCTTGCCAGCCCTTAAACACGGTGTGCCCTTACAGAGTGGTTGTTGCTAGACTGTGACATACATCTTGAAGAAAGTGCCCTTTCTAGAGTCCACCTGCATGCCACACAGGTGAGGTGCAGGAAAGCCAAGATATTCTGGCTTGGATTATGGAAAGGAGGAAACTTTGGAGGCAGAAAATCCCCAGCCACAACCTTGGCCTGTATTTTGCTGAGTCTTCCTGCGACAGTCCTAAATCAACATCAATTGTTGCCGACTCCTCTGCCTCCAATTTCTACCCTCTCTGGATCTTACATAAGTATTTCTTTGGTTAACCTGGTATCGTTCTTGGAACAATCTTGGGGTAGGCCTGGCTTAGCCAAGGTGTGGATAAGCAGATAGTGTCCCAGTGTGGCTTCCATTTCCACAGTTCTCACTGGAGTTCTTACACTCAGGGCTTCCCCTCACCATAAGGTTGGTACTACAGGTGTCTCTTACCTGAATGTTTTAATCTGTTAGCATGAAATTGAAGTGAAGTGATTGGTAGCTCCCTCTCAGATAACTTTGCACCTCCTGGCATGTCTCCTGTTCTGCTTTTTATTATAGTTTACATACTACTAAATTGTAAGCCTTCATGCCCATAACAGGGTCTCATAATTCTTTATTAGATTGAATGATGAAATTCATCTTTGTTCCCTTATTCCTTAATTTACGATCTTAGGATTTTTTTCCCATGTGACCCAGAGAGCCCAGTGAGTGTTCTTGACTTTTATAGCTAGCTTCCAGAAAGGTAAAAATGCTGTACTGACTGTGAACTCTCTGGGTTGTTTAGTCTCTTTTGTTAATTGAAGGTGATAGTACCACTGTGTAAAGCTCCAGGGGAGGGAGAAGAGGGGAATAGGATGGCTAGAAATATGTAACTATAATTTTTGTAAGTAAATTATTCCTCTGTTTAACTGAGGATAGGGCTATTGGTCTGCTTCTTGTATTTACTGTATAGATGGAGATGGTTAAAGTAGTGAAGGCTGACTGTTGCAATGATGCACCTGGAATCTAACACTAGAACTGAAACCTATTGCAGTAGGTCTGTTTAGAGTGTGAACTTGGCTACCTTGGGGTATGAGGAGTGAACTAGGTAAGTGCCATAGCGCTTTCTAACCCCTCTCTCCAGTATTGGTCATTGTCATTGCAGCACTGAAACATCTGAGTGGTGCTTTAAAAAAAATGCCAAAAATGCCAAGGGAACATTTGAGCTCTTATCTTGCATTCTTGGGTAGAGGTGTTTTTATCCTGGATATTAGTAGCCTTTTTGGTGATTGGAACATCCCAAATATGCATGCCCAGATGTGTGGGAGCACAGTTGCTGATTCTCATTGGCAGTATGAGGAAGGGAAAGATGGTGAGTCTTCCTCAGGCTTTGAACTGCAGGGTTGAGTACGTCTAAAAAGCCATTTTCTTCCTGAATTATCCAATATCTTCAGATTGGTAATGTGGGACTAGGAATCAAGAAACCTGAATTTTTGTCCTAGGCTTTCTAATTCACTCTGAGCTTGGGCCAGGCTCCCTAAACACTTTGTAAAAGGAGTAGATTATACCTAGACATCTATTGAGTACTGCTGGGGATACAAAGTTAAGTAAGGTATAACTTTGATCTCAGTTTTGAATTAAGCATTTTTGTTTATTTGTTTCACTTAAGTATGCAACTTTTAGATGTATTCATAAAATTCATTGACCTCCAGAAGTTTGGGAAGCAGCAGTTTTAACAATTCCTTTCAAATTATCAGCAATTTTATGGCAGAGATAACAATCTATATATACAAGTACACCATACTAATCTATATGGGTGAATGCTTTTTAAAATTAATAGTATAATGGCCAGGCATGGTGGCGCATGCCTGTAGTCCCAGCTACTTGGGAGGCTGAGGCAGAAGAATTGCTTGAGCCCACTGGCTGGGCGCGGTGGCTCACGCCTGTAATCCTAGCTCTCTGGGAGGCGGAGGTGGGCAGATTGCTCAAGGTCAGGAGTTCAAAACTACCCTGAGCAAGAGCGAGACCCCATCTCTACTATAAATAGAAACAAATTAATTGGCCAACTAATATATATAGAAAACATTAGCCGGGCATGGTGGCACATGCCTGTAGTCCCAGCTACTCGGGAGGCTGAGGCAGGAGGATTGCTTGAGCCCAGGAGTTTGAGGTTGCTGTGAGCTAGGCTGACACCATGGCACTCTAGTTTGGGCAACAAAGTGAGACTCTGTCTCAAAAAAAAAAAAAGAATTGCTTGAGCCCAGGAGTTTGAGGTTGCTGTGAGCTAGGCTGATGGCACGGTACTCACTCTAGCCTGTGCAGAAAGTGAGACTCTGTCTCAAAATAATAATAATAATAATAGTTTAAAATTAAAACTAAGTTATATCAGAGGTGTGATGATAGGGATATGAATTAAAATATAGGTTCTGAGGGATAAATATCACGTTCTATTCACTTAGTCACTAAAAGCAGACTTTTAGAGTCATTAGTTGGTTAACTGAAAAAATGAGTTAAAGCAGAGAATCATACAGATATTAGGTACATAAATTTCTTAAGCATTTATTTTAAGGGAAAACATAAACATTCCTTTGGCATTCTTTTATCATAAGGCCTCAGCCTTTTCTTGGAATGTGAGATCAATAAACTATAGCCTGTAGGCCAAATCTTTTCCCAGTCTGCTACCTGTTTTTGTAAATAAAGTTTTGTTATAACACAGCTCTGCTCATTTATTTGCATATTATCTATAGCTACTCTTGGTCTATATAGCAGAGTTGAATAGTCGCAACAGAAACCTCATGGCCCACTACGTCTAAAATGTTTACCATTTGGCCCTTTACAGAGTTTGCCAACCCCTGGTCTGTACCTTCTATTGTATCTTTAACATGAAATGAATAAATTCACTTATAAAGCAGTCTGAATGTACAATCTTTCTAGGTGTTTATGAAATTTCCCCCTAGCCTACATAGTTGTCTCTCCAAGACAACTTGAAAGAAAGTTGAAAGTTACCAAGAAAACTTGTGTGCTATCTGTGTGATTCACCTTTATCTAGTCTTTCTAAAGCATTCAACATGGTTTTTATAGAAACAACTAGTAGACAGGCTATGTAGTATAGTAGTTAAATTCTTAAGCTCCGGAGCCAAATTGCTTTGTGCTTTATTAGTTGTATAGGCCTTGGGCAATCTGCTCAGTTTCTACCTTTATAAAATAGGGATAATTATAGTTTCCATTTCGTAGGGTTCTTGTGAAGATTATGTGAGTTAATTCATGTAAAGCACTTAGAATAATGTATGGTGGGGAGTAGGTACTCAATGTTAACTGTTGCTGTTGTTTTTCTTTTCTTGTTTATGCTTCATTGCTTTACATAATAATTAAATCACATATTTACAATAATAAGCACAACTGGCATAAACTGGTTTATGAACAAAGGCAGCTGACACCCTTGATAAACATCCAACTTCACTGAGGGGGAGACCAGAAATGTTGCCTATTGGAGAATAGCCCAGCCAGTCGTTCTGTGGGATAGTTTGCTAAGAATATAAGGCAACACAGTACACTGTAGGGAAGTAGAGGATTAAAATTGAAAAGGAATCCAGGGCCATATTTGTTAAATACCTTGAAGGCCAAGGTGACAAGTTTGTACTTAGCTCAGAAGGAAATGGAACTTTTTATTCTAAATGACATGATTGATGTAAAAAAAATAATTAAATGGCTTAGGAATGTATGAAATAAAAAGTTAAAGTTTCCCCAGCCCCATTCCACATCAATAATCACTTCATTTTTCTCATAGTCCCTAGAACATGGGATTCTTAACCAAATGAAGAAAGGCACGGTAAACACTACTTGGGGCACTGGTACTAATCTGTTGAAAATTTCAATTCAGTTTTCTTTTGGATTATAATGCCAATTTTGAATTGAGAAAGATAAAGAATTAAATGAAATGACTGCTGTACTTGAAAAGTAACAATTTTACCATACTCATCAGAGTCTCTAATTCTTAAGTATTTCTCTCCCTCTTATTTCTAACTTGGCTCTACTGTTGATTTCTCTTTGTACCTTCCCTACCAGAATTGCTACAAGGGAGAAAGAGATATAATCATCAATAGGAAAACAGAGTGTTTGCAGTGACAAGATGTTTTCAACTACTAGATGATGTCAGATAAGTCAGGCTCTACCTCTTAAAGTTGATAAGGCAGGGAGAAGGAAAGGGAGGGAGTTGCCTGTACGCCCACCTGCAGCTCTTAGCATAACAGCCATTTTGAAAACTCAAAAGTTTTCTGTAGTTTTGTGACCTAAGTATGACAAGTCATCAAAAGTCTGATACTTAATACATTACAATGAGCAGTTTATGCCAAAAGAAATCTTATAGTAGGGACTGGGAAGGAAATGCTTTTGAAGTTTCCATTGCTTTGAGTAATATCATCTCATGATTTAGGTAACATCCCCAAGCAGAGGAGGGGCCCATCCTTAGGAATGCAAAGCCCTGCAGAGAAGGAAAGGGTTGAGGAGGGTCCACCCTACCTCCTTTCCTTTACACAATGGGCCTAGGCTTTTGTATACAACCTGCTT